ATTTGCTGAAATATTAGCTAATGTTTAGCTGCAATTAGCTAAGGTTAGCTTTTCTAAGCTAAATACACATTTTTTGTAGCTATTACAACTTTTTTCAGCTAAGGTTAGCAAACTTGTGCTCCTTATGCTAATTAAATAATTTCCAGCTACTTTTTAGCTGTTTTACTGAAAAATTCAGCTGTTTTAGTTATTTTATTACAAATTATCATTTATGTTTTTTTCTGCTTTAGTTATTTTTTAACTATAACTATTTCATCTGGGTGCTAATTTCAAATTGTGGCTGCTACCTTTAGCGTATTTTATGCCCATTTTAGCTACATTATGCTACTTTAGCTATTCATCTGCCTTTTTCTACTTTTAGTACTTTTTTACTGCTACCTAGTGCTATTTATGCTTCTTACAGATGTTTTAGCTATATTCAGCTATTTTAGCTTTTAGCTGTTTTCAACTAGATTTGTGCTTCTTTTTACTGTTTTTATGCAGTCAGGCTTTATTTTCAGCTCAATTTCAGCAGCTTTCAGCTGAAGTTTTTTCAGCATGAAGCATTCACACTAGCGTTTTCGCAGGAAATGCAATTTCTCTAGTTAAACCTTGAATTCAAACTGTCGAATATAATCTAAAACTTAAAAAGTTTACAATAAAAATTACATCCTGTGGTATAATTTCAATGTAATTTTCCAAAAGTTAAGCACATAAAACACTGAAGCCTGCCCCCCTTTACGGACTCCGCCTCTCCTCGCTCCACAGAGAGTCATGTCCAAAACCGGCACCCAGTCGGTCAGCCTGCTGGACCTGTGCAGGAACAACAACAGGAAGCAGGCMGCCGCCAAGTTCTACAGCTTCCTGGTTCTGAAGAAGCAGCAGGCGGTGGAGCTGGTCCAGGAGGAGCCCTACAGCGACATTGTAGCTACGCCCGGGCCTCGATTCCACGTCATCTGAAACAAAGACCCCCGGCTGGTGATTTACCGGAAGTCAAGATTTGTTGGGACTTTATTTTCGACGCAGCTTTTATTTCTGCGAAGGACGAAGAAAACGGTCCAAATAAAAAAAAAAAAAAACAAGCAAGGAATAATTTATTTTGAAGTGTTGGATCCAAACTAAGAGGTGAATATTGTTAAAGGACAGGACTCGTTTGGCATACCTGCATGCTGTCTTGTGCACTTTCTCTAGAAATTTTTTTTTTTTTCCAACGACGCACTTTCCTTCTGAGGGATCGACTGAAAGATGACAACTACTTTAGCTAAAACACAAAGTGCAGCTTTACCGGGCTCATTAAGTAGACGTGGTCTCGTGACATGCAGTATTGCGAKAACTAGTTTTTTATATGAAGGTAGATTTGATTATTAGTGGAGTCTGAGTGGATGTTTTGTATCTGGTTGCGTAAGAAAATAACTGAGGCGGAATTCATCACAAAGTCTTTGATTTCCATGTTTCTTCTTTATTGGACTTCAACGAATCTGTATTTTGAGACTGATCTTTTATTTTGCGTAAAATCCAAGATAATCATCTGATGCTAAAAGATGTTTTTTGTTTGTTTCAAAGTAAAAGACTCAATATAACGACCAATATTTTAAACCATAAACTCTGATTTATTGTCTGAAAAATACAAATGAATTATGTTATCATTCACATCCTGTATAACTTATAAAATGCTGTTTTAAGAATAAAAGTGTCACGTTATGTGTTGATGACCGCAGCAGCAGCCATGTTGTCTCCTTTTTTCCGTCTCTTGTGTCGACTCTTCCTCCTCTCTCCAGGCTCCGCCTTCCTCAGCGGCGGTGTCGGCAGTCCTTTCTTCTTCTTCTTCTTCAGGCAGCTCAGAGGGTTGGGGTTGCTCTGCTTCCTCTTCCTCTTCTTTCCTCGCCTCTCTCCGTCCTTGCGGCCGATGCCCTGCTCCTCCTTCAGGCTGCGGATGCTCTGCTGCTGGGCGGGGGTCACCAGCTCCCCCAGCTGCACGGCCCGGACGTGGTCCAGGGACGCCTGGCTGGGTTTGTCCAGCACGATGGTGTTGAGGACGATGTAGAGCAGAGGAACACCCGGGATCTTCTTCAGACCGTCTGTCACCGTTGGGTCCTGCGCAGATTTTAGATTTCAACCAGTGGAGAAGCTAACGAAGTCAAATAAATCTTCAGAAAGCTCAAAACCACCCATCACGCCGGTGTTTACCTGCGTAGCCACAAAGTAGTGTTGTGGATTTGTGTCCTCCAGCATGGACAGCAGGCACTCTGAAGCAGGAACTGGGTTCTTGAAATGAGAACATCTCCTCACCTGGAACCTCTGCAGGATGATTTTAGCTCCGTACAGCTGGTTCCCGAGAGTCTCCAACTCCTTCAGAACACAGCTGAGGAAAAACAAAAGATTAAAACAGATTAACGACAACTGAGCAGTTCTGGAGATGATGCTAAAAAGAGCAGAACACTGGTTCAAAACCAGAAAGTAGCAAAAGTCTAGCTAAAAGCAAAACAAGCTAAAAACAATGTCTCAAAAGGCTAGGTAAAAGTGGCTAAAAATTGGCTAAAAGTAGCAAATGGATAGCTAAAACCTAAGAGTAGCAAATAAGGTTTAAAACCTGAAGATTAGCTAAAAGTAGCAAAATATTAGATATAAGCTAAACGTAGCAAAACAAGTAAAAAACTGAATGTCTCAAAAGGCTAGGTAGGTAATGAAACATTGGCTTAACAGCAGAAAAAGAGGGAGGAACACACTAGATAAAATGAGCAAGATGTTAGAAAGACGCTAAAAGTAGCAAAAAATAAAACAGCTAAAAGCTAAACGTAGCAAACAAGCAAATATGAATAAAGGCTAGCTAAAAAGGCAAACGTTAGAAGCTAAAAGTAGCTAAAAGCAAGAATAGTTTAAAACTGAACATCTCAAAAGGCTCGTTTTAAGTAGCAAAATAAGCAGAAACATCTAAAGGGAGCAAAATAAAAAAGAAGCCAAAAGCAGCAAATGATTAGCTAAAAGCTAGGTGGCAAAAGAGTTCAAATCTGAATGTCATAAGTTAGCTAAAAATGAGAAAATTGCAGGTTAAAGGTGGCAAAATACTAGCTAAAAGTGAAAAATGCTACAGCTACAAATAGAATAAGACAACAAAAACTGATTATTTTTGCTAAAGCAGTTTTATAATTCAGGCTGGGAGATTTGAGGATATTGAGAAGAATCTCAGTGTTTTTTATTTTTAATTTGTAAAGAAAATTAACCGTAAAAGGACGAAAACTCACTTGGTGGTGCACAGCTGCACGTCCCCCATCAGATATTTGGGCATCTGTTCTTTSAGTTGAATCTTGTTCTTCAACGCCGCCTGACAAAAAGTCCCGTCCAGAAGAATCAGGAAAGGTTCCCTGAAGCGGAAGTTGTATTTGTAGAAAGTGATGGACTTCTTGGCTTGTTTCTGTCGTTTAATCTTCATGTCGGACTGTCAGTTTTCTCACTTTACCCTGAAAACAACTCTTAGAAACTTACAACACCCAAAAACGTTTCAATTCGTAGGGAATAGACACATTTCACAACCATATTACCCAACTTGAAAGCTTGTTGAATACAACACGCTTGTGGTACACACGTGTAATGATTCCGGGTGGAAACAAATGTGGCACAACAGTTCCGGTTTAGAAGAGTTCTGGCCGGATAATGCATTAAACAAATCTTATAAATAAATCAGTTTTACTTTCAGTTTTAATTCATRTTAATATATATGTGTATGTATTTTTATTATTTTTTTTCTTTTTCTCTCATTTTGTTTGAAACGAAATGAATAAACTAACTCATGCAATAACAAAACATGGCAAAAATAAATAAATAAATACTTAAAAAAAACTCCAGACAAATTGCCAGGGGGTATCCGTACAGGGTAATATTACTGGTGTAAGTTTCAAATTTAAATTCCCTATAAAACGCAAAACATATTTTTATTTATAGTATTAAGTTACAGCATTTTCGCCCCGCCCCTTGTTTAAAAGCCCCGCCCTTTGACCCTGTTTTATATCAGCTCCGCCCCCGGCCTCTTGTTGCTTACGGAAGCTGACAGACGGCTGTGTTTCAGAGGCGGAGAGTGGTCTCCGTACGTCCAATGGTCCGTCAGAGCCGCGGTTACCTCTGACTCACGGTTAACGTTGACTCGGGTCGGGCCCGTGTGGGTTGGCTCGGCTCGGCGCGATTCATTCCCTACCAGTTTTTAGCAAACATGGCCGCCACGGATCCCCGCTTCTCGAGTGACGGCGGGCCGGCCAGCAGAGGAGGCTTCCCCGCCGGTGAGAGCAGCAACGACCGGGACGGCCCGGGCGGCGGCGGCGGCAGCAGCGGGAGCGGCGAGGGCGAACGGGACCGGGCCACGTTCGAGTGCAACATTTGTTTGGACACTGCCAGGGACGCTGTCATCAGCATGTGCGGCCACCTGTTCTGGTAGGAGGGCGGTAGTTGTGTTGTTTATCAGCGGGCTTTAGAGCCTCGTTTACCGTGTTTGTGTTGTTGTTGTCGGGGGGAGTCACGCCCCATGTCGCACCGTCAGATCCGAGGTGACAGCACCAGAAAAGCCTCACCTGTTGTGATTTAACCAGATTTTATTCAGCCTGACGTCATTGTTTACACTCTGGACCAAGTTGATCATATGATCTGATTAAGTTCAGAGTTCAGTCAGAACCAGGATTATCTCGTCCTGTGAGGCTTTAACTTCTGTCCACTCACAGAGGATCATTGACAGCTTTATCAGCTGTGTTCAACTCCCTCAATCTTCTTCTTTCTCTCAGACTGGTCTCTAAATAAAACCAGCCGGAGCCTTTATGACCCTCAGACCCAAACGAAATGTTCTGCTCCAGTCTCATAAAGCTGTGSTTCCAGTACTTTTCTCTTCTGTGTCATCAGGACTTGTTGCGCAACAAAGGCTCGACCTTGACAGCACTTGTTGTAAATGTACACATGTCAAGCGGCGTGAGCTGTTCCTGGGTTCTGATGGACCAGAAGAAGCCGAGGAGGACGTGAAGCTGGGCCAAGTCAGAGGATCAGATGCCAACGTTTCTGCAAAAAA